AAACTTTCCTCTTTTCACCCTCCCTTAGGACTTCTGATCTGCCCACACCTCTGACAGTCATCACTGAGACGCTTTTTTTCTGAAAAAGAGGAAGGAAAAGCCATCAGCAGGCATCCTGGGTTCTTGATGACAGGGAGTGTTCCTGGTTTGGAGAGTGGAGGTCTGCTCTACTTGAGAGGGAGAAGCTGCAGCCCTGGGAAGGATGGCTCTGCTGGTGAGAGCAGCTGTGCTCATGAGTCCTCTCCTCTTCTGCAATGGTGAGTCTATGGAAAGGTCTCCTGTGTGAGGCAGTTCCTTCCCTGGCATTGGTGTGCCTGCGTGTGGTTGTATGGGGGTGGTTCTGTTTCAGGAATAGAAATATGGCAAGAAGGCCAATGTCTTTGCTCGCTGCTGGCTTGGTGTTCAGTTGTTTCAAATCCAGTGGCTGCGGAGTACAGCAGTGTATGATGGCTGTGGAAGAACTGCCCATGTACTTAGAGTACAAAGATCCCATATACATTGTGACGGTTGTTTCAGGGAGCACAACAAGCAGCCCAGCATGAAGGGTCTGCTTAGTATATGTGTTCCCAGGAAAGGGGAGTTTTGAAAACCTGGAGAAAAGGGTAAAGAAGTGTCTACGGAAGCACAGGTTGAGCCCTACAAGTGACAAAAATGTACTGGGACAAAGGCAACAGACCTCACTTTTATAGGAAAATGTAAAGAGTTTTAGACTTCTTTGATCCATTACTTAAGTTGCTTAAATTCAGATTAGTCTGATAAAGCAGTGCCTTTCAGAAGGATAAACAGGCAGTGGAGGAGAGAAACCCATGAAAACTGTGGTTTGCTGTTAAGATGAGGTGCTTCCCAGGAAAGCCCCAAGAGTGTGTGAAGGACAGTCTGATTTATGGCCTTCAACAACTTGTCTTGCAGATCTTATGTATGTGTCTTGAACAAAAGACACATATTTTGGTTTACAGTGCAACTTTTATGTATTAGCCCTAAAAACAGCCTGCTTTGCAAAAAACCAGCCTGCTCCAAGGAGATAAAAGAGGGTGGAGCAGTGTTTCCCCTTCAGAAACTTTACTTGGGATGATCGATAAGGGGGTTTCAGTTGGAGCAGCTACCTAACCTCCCCTATCCAAACGGACAAACCCTGCAGAAGAGGGGTGTTTCTGGACTTGGGGAGGCCCACTCCTTCATCTGCAGGTGTACACTGGACTTGAGAAGGTCCACTCCCTTATCTATAGTGGACAAAACCCCCTTGGAACCCCTAAAATGTTGCATACTGCACCTGTGTCCTAATTATCACAGAAACAGAGAAGAGGAGGGGATAATGTGAACAGGACTCATGAATACTGATGAAAAGGGACAATAAAAATACCAATAATCAAGACACTGGTGTGCACCCACCCTCGAAGCACCAAAGATCAGACAGGACCTGCGAGACATTGCTGGAACCCAGGAGTGGTGATCTCTTGCACTCTCGCTCTCTTTTTCTCTCGCTCTTTCTCTCCATATTATTAGATAGAATTAGGGAAAGCCATACTTTTATCCGATCTGTGAAGTATTATTTTATCCGATCTGTGAAATACTACTACTAATAAAGCGTGTTATTGCTGCCAATTTACTGACCAAAGAGGGTTATTAACTCGCTACCTTTGCCAAGCAAAGGGTCTCTGCCGTGCAGAGAGGATACAAAGGATTCACCTACCCCAAAACCCACCAGGTGGGACAGGACACCCTTCTAATGGTGGGGGCAGCTGCCAGCTGCGACTGGGGGGGCTGCACAACTCCACTTGAGACAAACTCCTTCCCTCAGGTCCAAGTTGTCCACTCATTCTGATCTGTGCTCTGCATGGTGTTCACTGGCTTGCAAGTATGAGAGCCAATCTGCACATGTGGCACACACTGGTGAGCTGGCAATCAGGGGCCCCCATCTGCCTTCCTCGTGCCACGTTGCTTTTCGCTTATCCCATCCCAGAACACATCATCCATCATTGTCTACGCTGACTGCCTGTGCTTTTGATTTGGTGGATTCCACTGGCTGATGTTCTCACCACTGCTTCATCACCCAGAAGCTGCCTTCACCATGATTACTTACTTTTAAATTTTCTTTCTCCATTCTTCCTGCAGCTTTTCCAGACCTGGCTGGCCCCAATGAGATCACAGGCATCTGGAGGGGGTCTACCACCTTGCCATGTACCTATGTGCCTGAGAAGGACTTTGTGCAGCAGATGGTCTCATGGACTGTGGTACGTGACCAGAACTCTGGCACCATCTTTCAGAGGGATGGCTCTGGCGACCACATTCTCCTGTCCGAATACAGGGGCAGGGTCAGTGTCCTGAAGGACACCCCAGGGAACGTGTCTCTCCACATCCTGAACCTGGAGGTCTCCGACAGGGGAACCTACACTTGTCAGGTCACCTGGAGAGCCAGCAACAACAGCCTGATAGCAAGAGAGATCACCACTGAAGTGAAGGTTGTTAAAGGTAAACCCAAAAAGGAAGCTGCACAGGAGTGGAAGGTTTGGCTTGGGAAGGCTTCTAGGAAATGAATAGACCAGGCAGGCAGTGACCACCCGCTTCTGATGCAAGAGCGGTGCCAGACCCCAGCAAGAAGCAGCAAATAGGTCAGAGAGAGGGGTTCTGCCCACAGTACTGTGCCCCACGGTTCGGGGCTGGGGGAGGATTTGTGGCGCCTCGCTTACCAGTTTGTCCCTGGCACTACTCATATCTGATGGCTCAATGTTTCCAAGGGACACACACCAGAGGGGAAGTCCCTGGGATATTGCATTGCCTTTCTTTGGCCGAACTTCAGCAGCACGTGCCCAATCTCCCTTTGCTTAGGCAGTGGTGATTTATAGAGGAATGGAGATGGTACCAACCCAGCAGAGCAGGCCTTCATGTAGGAGGTGCAACGGGTGACATAGCTGGTACAGGCACAGCTAAGCCAAGCTTAACCTGTGCAGAGCGGTGACATGAGAGCAGTGCCCCTCTTCCTCCTGGGAAAGCACTGAAAGCCAAAGCAAGAACTGCCATGGCGGGGGGGGGGGGGCCTGC